TTAACTCTGAATATGCTCAGCACCTTTTCAATGTACAACTCCTGAGATAGATTTAAAGTGCCAGCAGATCTATCTCGAGAAATCTTCATCCCAAAATCGACTTCGCTGGACCCAAATCTTTCATCTCAAACGCTACAGACAACCTTGTCTCCAGATTGTTAATCTCCCTCATACTAGATCCTGCAATCAACATATCATCCACATTCAAGAGTATAAAGACATATGAATCAGTGTATTTCTTGAAGTAACAACAAGGATCCTTTTCAGCTTTGCAGAATCCACTCTTGATCATGAAGGAGTCAAATTTCTTGTACCACTGCCTTGGTGCTTGCTTTAGTCCATACAAGCTCCTGGTGAGCTTGCACACCACGTGTTCCTTGCCTGGAACCACAAATCCTTCCGGTTGCTGTATATGGATCTCTTTGTCCAGATCTCCATGTAAAAATGTTGTTTTTACATCCATTTGCTCTAGATGCAAATTCTCCGATGCAACAACACTCAACAGAATTCGAATAGAGGTTAACTTCACAACAGGAGAGAATATTTCAGCATAATCAATACCTTTCCTTTGTGAATATCCTTTAACCACTAAACGAGCCTTGAACCTTCTTTTGCCATCTGGTTCAGCCTTGATTCTGAACACCCACTTGTTCAGCAAAGCTTTGTTCCCTGCAAGTAACTCAGTCAACACCCATGTGTCGTTCTTCTCAAGTGACCTCATCTCATCATCCATGGCTTGCTCCCACCTGATCGAATCCTCCACCTGTAGGGCCTCATCAAAAGACTCTGGTTCCCCCTCAACAGTCAACAATAGATAGTGTATTGAAGGTGAATACCTATCTGGTGCCCTGATGGTTCTGGATGATCTCCTTAACACCTGCTCAGGTGTAACTTTCTCCACTTCAGATTCTTCAGTAGGAATTGGTTGAGTATCTGGTTCGACATCTCTGGGGTTACTCTTCTCCAACTTTACCTCAACTCCCACTTGCTTTGTAATCTCTAGAACCTTCTGCTCTGTCCTTGTACAGGACAGACTCATCAAATGTCACGTCACAATGTCTCAGGATCTTTCTGTTCTTGTCATCCCAAAACCTATAACCAAACAAATCAGAACCATATCCTATGAAGTAACACTTCACAGCCTTGGCATCAATCTTGTCTCTCTTTTCTGGATCAACATGAACATAAGCAGTGCAACCAAAAGTCCTCAAGTGTGAGTACTTGAGTTCTTTTCCTGTCCACACCTCCTCTGGAATCTTGAACCCTAAAGGAACTGATGGTCCCCTGTTGATCAAGTATGCAACTGTGCTCACAGCATCCGCCCAAAGTGTTTTGGGCAGCCCATAGTGTATCCTCATACTCATTGCACGCTCATTCAATGTTCTATTCATCCTCTCAGCAATTCCATTCTGCCTTGCTTTACCAGGAAATGTTCTCATCAATCTGATTCCCCCAGCTGCATAGAATGCCTTGAACTCTGATTTGTCATACTCTCCTCCATTGTCAGACCTTAGACATTCGACTTTCAAACCGGTCCGATTCTCAAGTTCAGCTTTCCACTTCTTGAAAGTTGCAAACACATCTGACTTATGCTTCAAGAAGTAAACCCATACCTTCCTGCTGAAATCATCAAACAAGGTAACATAGAAGCTGGATCCTCCAAGTGATGATACTGGAGATGGTCCCCAAACATTTGTATGGACCATTTACAACCACGCTTTCTTTGGCTCTCTAGGAGTCTTTGTGAAGCTTACTTTTTTTCTGTTTGCCCATAACACAGCTCTCGCAAAGACCCATATCAATAGATTTCAGACCCTCTAATGCTCCTTTTGCAACCAGCATCTTCATTCCTTTAGTACTCATGTGTCCAAGTCTGTTATGCCAAAGACATGAACTGGAAGCACCTTCACCAACAACGGCCATGTTTATACACCCTGCAGTGGTGTACAAGGTTCCAGATTTGGTGCCATGAGCTACTACCATAGCACTTTTCACGATCTTTCACGAACCTTTCCCAAACTCTACTGCATATCCCGTGCTATCCAACTGACCAACAGAGATCAGATTTTTCTTGATCTTAGGAATATATCTGACATCCTCCAATGTCCACTGGTTTGCCGAGGTGGTCTTTATGCAAACATCCCCCTTTCCTTCAATCTCTAGGGCTTTATTATCAGCAAGATATACTTTTCCAAAATTTGCAGATTTAAAATTTTGGAACAACTCCTTGCTTGGAGATGAACGGAAAGAAGCACCAGAATCCAAAATCCATGATTCAACCGGGCTGTTCACACTAAGGATTAAAGCATCCCCAATGTCCTTTGCTAAATTTACAGAATCTTTGTCATCTCCAAATTTCTGATTCTGTTTCTTCTTTGGCTTTGTACAGTTCGTCCGAAAGTGATCTTTTTTCTCCACAGTTCCCACAAGTCACGTTTGATCTGTTCAGGGATTTTCCTTGATTCTTTGATTTTGATCGACCATTTTGATTTTTTCCTTTCGTCTTACTTCTCCCCCTTCGATCAACGCTGAGAGCACTGCCCGATGAATCTCCCACTTCTCGTTTGCGAATACTTTCGCTAAGAACAACATCACGGATTTCATCAAACTTTAGTTTCTCACATCCATGGGAACTGCTAATCGCAGAACAACAGTATCCCAAGACTCGGGCAGAGATGACATCAAAATCAACGCCTTAATTTCATCTTCGAAATTAATATCCACAGAATTGAGTTGACTCACAATCATATTGAACTCGTTTATATGATCAGAAACGGATCCATTCTCAGACATCTGTAAATTGAACAATCTACACATCAAATATACCTTGTTCATAGCCGATGATTTTTCATACATGTTTGACAGTGCCTTCAACGGACCGGACGTAGTCTTCTCCTTCACAATGTTGAACGCCACGTTTCTTGACAAAGTCAACCGGATCAACCCTAGAGCCTGGCGATCATTGAGTTTCCACTTCTCCTCCGTCATGGATTCCGGCTTCACCCCGGTCAACGATTCGTGAAGATCTTTCTGGTATGGATAGTCTTCGATCTGCATCTTCCAGAAACTGAAATCGGATCCATCAAACTTCTCGATTCCAAGCTTCTAACTATCCATCTTCAGTGATCGTGTTGAATTTACTTAGGTCTGATACCAGTTGTTAGGATCAAATTCATGTACACACACTAGATGAATGAAGAACACAAGAACTTTCAAGAGAAAGAGATGAGAGATCTAGAGAGAGAAAGAGAAAACTCAATATTTCGTGGTAACACCCCGTGAGTAAACTTTCACGGCAGTGAGGTATATTTATGTTAATAAATCAGAGTATTTTTGGTTACAGAGAATAAATAGGAAAGCCTAAAATAGAGAATAAATAGGAAAGCCTAAAATTAATCAGGCTCCACTACCTAACACATGCAATAACACTACAACCCAATCAATCAATAAAGCAGTAAAAACTAAATTAAAATCAAGCTAATCAACAAAAGGAGATCCAAGAAAAAAAATTAAGCATGAATAAATAGAATAACATGAAGAAGGAAGTGATTAAGAAATCAAAGTAGAAATTTAGTGCTAGACTGTGGTCGCCATGGAGGAACTGATTAGGCAAGAGAGAGGAACGTAGAAGAAAAAAGAAATATTATTGTCTCTACCAAAAACAAATTAACTATTGAAGAATACATAGCTCCATGAATCCTTTTTCAAAAGTAGAGAGTTTGAGAAGAAATAATATTTTGTGTTAGTATAAATGGATCAAACTTAAAAAGGGAAAAGGCGGCTTTGTGGGTGATTTTTGGATGGAGTCGGCAGTAGTTACCCGTGATTTAAGGTCACATCAACGAAGATATGAATGACTAATTGACTAGTACTTTTTTCTTAGACAGAAAGGCGGAGGCTTCATTTCAGACAAAGGTCATTCTAAGATAATCATGATAAGATAATTCATAACTTAATTTACTATTTTACCTCAAAATAATTATATTAAATTACTGATATAATCTTGATAATGTTTGGTAAACTTAAAAGAAGCATGTGTCATTTTCTTGACATTACGACTTCAGTCGGTCAGCCCGTACAGAATGACATCCTAAGGATCCATTTGGTAGGTGGTATTAGGTAAAATAATTTATGAATTAAAATTTAATCAAATTAATACATAATTTGGTTATTTCATTTAATTTAATCCATGAATTTCTTATCCATCATATGTGGTATTATCTTATCCGTTGGAAATGGAGGAATAACTAATCCAAGGTTTGTTAAACCTTAGATAAGATTCCTAAATGACTAAACTAACCTTTTTTTTAAAATTTCTTTTGTAATTTAATTTCCTTTTTATTTATATTAGAGTGGTTATAAATGTTCTTTTTTAATTCTCTAAATAGTTTGGTGTAATTTAATGATTTTATTAATATTTTTTTCTTTATTTTTTTTATATTCAAGATAATTTGTCAATTATCCACTTGAACTATTGTTTTAAAAATAAAAATAAAAATAAGCTTTAGGTATTAACAATTTAAGTATTCTTAAATCTATATTAAGTTTAAGATATATACTTAACCCACAAAAAATTAGAAATACATTGTGCCATCACTGATCTTCTTAGTGGTAAATTATACCTTTAAATTAATAACAATTTATATATATGTATTTGATTTAACTAATTAAATGAAATAAATAATTTTAAAAAAAATATCCGGTCTAATAGTTATCTACTTTGACTCAATTTTATGAAATAAACACTCATAATAACACAAAAGTATAATAGAAAAGAATTTTTTATAGATTTATAAATTAAACACAACATTAAAAATTAAGTAGAAAGTAGTGAACCAAACAGTTAACAAAAAATAATCCCTTTCACTATTACTTTCTATATTACTAATTCATACATTACTGATCCTTGCCGTATCAATGTTTGTACCAAAAACCCCTAAATTCTTACTTGTTTAGTCTTGCCTGCAGGGCAAACCAAGCTCGTTGGAAATGGAGGCAGCAGCGTCGGCGGCAACGGGAAGTGGATTAACGAAGAGAAGGTGAATTCCAGTGGCGTCATTTGTAGAAGATGTTCAGTCCTATCTCAATCAATTTGGTCTCGACGTCAACTTTGCTCTTGCCTTTCTCAAAGAAAGGTCTTTCTCTTACCCGTGTAACTATAATGTCTTTCGTAACTAATGCTAATGGTTTTTATTACTTGATATCAACTGAAGGTCAGTGACTCGTGTACTGTAGAATTTTAGGTTTAGTTTATGAGGTTTCTGTTGGTCTATTTGGTGTTGTTTACTTCAGGGTTTGCTTAATTAGGAGTTATTATCTTCTATGATGTTAAAGTTTCAATCTTCAGGGATGTTATGACTGCTTGGGAATATATGTTGTTTACACAAGTTTTGGTGTGCTGGAGAGTTTTCGCATGAGTATTTAAGTTTCTTTGTTTTTTTTGTCTGTTTATTTCAGGTTTTGCTTAATTAGACATTAGTTGTATTCTACCATGCGAGAGTTCCATTCTTTAGGGATTTTTAATTGCTGGGATACTTTTAACTTGTGTTTGAGCAAAGGTGGTTGGGTCTAGTGTTGAGTTTTGGCTTCAATTGATGCGGTTCTTGGTTTTGTTTTGTGTTAATTTTCTTCAAGTTTCCTTAATTATAAGTTAGTTTTTTGCTATATGTCACAATTTGATCTACAACTAAGCTCAATCCATGAGTAATTCCGCAGAATAGAGAGAAGAGAAGGAGGAAAATATGAGAATGTAGGAAGAAGATTGATATTCATCTATTCGATAAAATAAATGATGAAATGCAGTACAAAAAACTAATAAGAACATTGTCCAGCTAATGCGTAGGGGACATGTGGAATGCTTTTGCTAGGTAGCAGAAATCACAAAGGACTACTAGTGCAATTATATGAAAATCATAATTCTGGAAATACAGAAGGGCTAAAACATATTAATGTAAACTACTTGGGCCAACAACGAGGTGTCTTGAGACTTTCCTTCTCTTGAGCTCAAACTTGGTTCTTGGTTTTCTCATATCATGACATTCCATCCCCCTTAAAATCCTTCCTCAAGGATCACCAATTCAGAATCTCCAATAGCTGGAAGAAGTAATCTTCCCCTTTGGTGCTCGGACTCTTCATAAATGCCAACGGGTGCGTGTCGGATTCGCCAAAAGTAGTATATTTTTGCAAAATCTGATACAGGTGCGACATCAAAAGTGGAGAGTCTGCACAATTAAGATCTTCCCGAGTTGCCTTCTCTGTGAGCAAATTAGCCTACTACACTATAACACTTGAGACACTGCTGCATTTCCTTTATGCACAACTATACTATCTAATATGGCTACTTATTCAACAAGGGGCTGTCCATGTGCTGAGCATAAAGGAGGATCAAGAGGAGGGATCACATGAGCAACGGTTTTTTTATTCAACCAGAAATATGGAACACAATTCTTGCTGATGAGGGAAATCTCAATTCATAAGCTACAACAAAATTTCCCTGATCACTAGATAAGGGCCATAGTAAAGTCAGTTTGAGGTTACTCCTCAATGCAACAATAATCTGCCTGTGATTTCAAGTAAACGCAGTATCCAGTTTCAAATTCTCTTAGTCCTGTTCTTATCAGCATAGAACTTCATTCTGTGCTAAGCTTACTTTGAGTGCCTTATCCATAATCTTTCTTTCTTGGAGCCACTAGTCCACCTTAGTTCCTAAAATAGAGCCACCAACTCAAATGACAATTGTGGAGGATCATAGCCATGCATCACTTTGAGTGGAGACATAATGGCAATATGATTATTTGGATTATAACAAAACACAGCTCAGTGGAAGCCATTTGTGACAATCATTTGGCTTATGACTACACATGCATCTCAAGTAGTTTTCTAGAAATTTATTTACTCCATCAGTCTGGCCATTAGTTTGGGTATGGTAAGCAGAGTTGAATTTCTTTTCACTCTTAAGGTCCTTGAACAGTTCCTTCTTGAATTGGTTTAGAAACACTTTGTACTGTCACTATTTCCTAACTATACTTTGTGGTAGACCATGGAGTTCGTACACATTCTTCGTATATATTTTAGCAATTTGAACATCATTTAAAACATATGCTTGAGACAAGAAGTGAGTATTCTTACTGAATCTCTCCACCATGACAAAGATATATTCTTGCCTTCAGAACTGGGGAGGTCTTTAATAAAATCCATTGTCATGTGCTCTGATGCTTTTTCTGGTACATGAAGTGGTAGCTATAACCCTGGACAAGTCTCTTAATTCATCCTTGCATCTTTGGAAAATGTCAGACTGTAGTACCACTTTCTTAATGTCATCTAGACATTGTTGACCAGTGAAAAAACACTTTAATACTCTGCATTGTGGCGGATATCCCTGAATGACCACCGAGTCTAGAAGAATGAATATGAAACACCGGTTGTTGTCTCAAGTTTGTATTTAAGTTCCCTGACTCACGGCAACATTAGTAACTGTAGTGAGATCAATCACTGCTTGAGCTATTAATGGAGTCACTTTTGCATCATTTTCATAACTCCTGCACACTTCCTCCGTTAGGCTATATTTGAGAGATTAAACAATAGGAACTTGAGTCATCTTGCCTTGATAAAGCATCAACTATAGTGTTTCCAACACCCTTCTTGTAGTGAATCTCATAACTTGAGACCATCAATTTTGATAGTCCCTTATGCTGCATTGAAGTGGTGTCTTTTGTTCTTGCAAGAACTTGAGAATAAATTATCAATCTTACTAATGAAATGGTGAGGATGCATGTTGTGTCTCTATTAACAAATAATATTTGTTATCCTTAGGTTAAGGAGTTTGTAATTAATTCCTATTTTGTATCTATCTGTTGGTTCTTGTATTCTTCTACACATTGATTCATTTATGACTTCCTATACTTTCCTATATTTTAGTATTTTTATTGCTTTGTATCTTATCAGATTACTATATAACCTAGTGGGTTAGTATTTTTCAGTTCTGTAGCCGCTCTATATAAAGAGCATGTTGTTCTAGAATAAAATCATCTTTCCTCTTTTACATTTCAAACCTTTATAATCTCCACTTGTCAATTGCCACCAATTATGCAATAAGTTCCTTCTCATATGCAGAAAGGCCTTGATGTTTTTTCCTGAGTGATTGGCTAATATAGGCCAAGGGATGGCCCTCTTGCATGACTACAACTCCCATTTTGGTACGACAGACATTAACTTCAACCAAAAAAAGGGACATGCTGAACACCAACCTTTCCAACTAAATCAGAGGTGAGATTCCTTTAATTGATGATGTTTTCCCTCGTCAACAAGCGGTGGCTGACAAGGCCCCTGAAATAGCACATATATAAGAGCTGCTTGAATATGGGTTGTGTCATCCTTTTTCATGTATTGCAATTGGCATATTATGGAAGGCAAGCAAGGTCATTTATCTTATATTTGGATGCACAAATCTCCTCTCCGCCCGAGAAATCCTTCCGCCCAGATCCCATAGTGATGTGATTGAAAAATTGGATCTACATTGGTTCTCACACGAATTTCCCCATCTATCCTGCTAAAGGTATCCTCTTGGCCAATCCCAAAATATTAATAGTGGATGAAATAGAGGCTCTCATCTAGAGTCTTAGTGTGATTAGAAGGTGCCACCAAAATTGAGAAGGCAAGTTTTAAAGGGTGATTATTAGACCAACTATGTTGTATGGGGTGGAGTGTTGGCTAGTGAAGAATTCTCACCTACAAAAGATGAAGTTGCAGAAACGAGGATGCTGTGATGGATTTATGGCAATAATATGAAGGAAAGGATTAGAATCTGGACAAGGTAAATGTGGATTTTGTATAGGATAAGATGCGGATAGTGAGGCTGAGATGGTTTGGGCATGTGAAGAGGAGATGTGCAAATTCCCTAATATGGAGGTGTTAGAGATTGACTATGGTTACATGGAATGTAAGGGGACTGAATAATAAGGATGAGAGAAGACTAGTCAAAAGTGTTATGGGGGGATGGAATGCAGACATCATTTGTTTGCAAAAAACTAAGTTAGAGGGGGATGTGATAGAGGAGATTAGGCAAATTTGGTGAGGGAGATGGGTTAAATATGCATGTATGGAAGCTAGTAGGACTAGAGGGGGAATTTTAATGTTTTGGGACATTAGTGTGGAAGGGGGATATTCTGGAGACTGGCATCTACACTATAACTTGCAAATTTGAAGCTCAACTTCAAAACTTCAGTTGTCACATTACATTACAGGGGTGTATGCCCCCAACTGTTATGTAGAAAGAAGGCTTGTTTGGGAGGAAATAGGGGCAATAACGGGTTTAATAGAAGGGCCTTGGTCTGTCTGTGGAGATTTCAATATGGTGAGGTTCATCTCAAAGAAGAGAAACTGTTTGAGAAGAAAAAAGACATGAGAGAATTTTCAGATTTCATAAAAGATCCGAAGTTGCTTGACACTCAACTAGAGGATGGACAGTATACTTGGTTCAAAGGAGACAATCAAGACATTGCCTCCAGAATTGATAGGATTCTGATATCAAAAGAATGGGATGAAAGCTTCAACAACATAAACAATATAGCTTTACAAAGGCTTGGATCAGACCACACTCCTATTGCATTGCTTGGGGGAGTGTGGAACCAAAACAAAAATTATTTCAAGTTTGAAAACTAGTGGTTAGAAACAGAAAGGTTCACAAACAGAATCAAAGAACGGTGGGACACTTTCAGCTTCTCTAAGAGACCGAATTAAATACTTGCTTCAAAACCTAAGGCATTAAAAGAAAAGCTTAAGGTCTGGAGCAGGAGTGATCAAGCGAACCTGGGAGCTAAAAGGAGGAACTTACTCATAGAGCTGGCTATTTTTGACGAAGCTAGTAAGGGTAGAGCACTAACAGAGGACGAGGTAACAAGGAAGAACTCTAGATTACTAGAGTTCGAGGAATTGCTCAAATATGAAGAAATTTCATGAAGACAAAAATCAAGATCACTCCTGTAGTTTCTAGTCCTTCGATTTTATTGTTATTTAGTGTTTATTGTACTTCGATTCTCGTATTATTTTATTGTTGTTACTGTTCAGAATGATTTGTCATATTTTCTATAGTATTTGCCATAGTTTCCTCACTTCTGCATTTTTTTTATTTACTCTAAACTTTTTTTTCCTGGAGGCGAGGGTTTTCTCAAAAACTTCACTACCTCCAAGAAAGGGTAAGAATATGCGTACACTCTACCCTTCCTATTTTATGGAACTAAACTGGGTATGTTGTTGTCGACGGTGAGTTATCAATGCCTAGAGCCACACATACAGAAACTTCCATCATCTCCTCTTCTCCCACATGTTTTTCTTATCTTTTCTCCTTCCTCTTGCATGAGGATTCTCTTCTATTGCTTCCCAATTGACGAACTTGACTAAGCAGAATGTTCCATTTGTATGGTCAGACGAATGTGAGGAAAGCTTTCAGAAGCTCAAGACTTTGTTGACCACCGCACCTATCCTTACCTTGCCAGTAGAGGATAGAATATGGATCGGGTGCCACGTTCTGGTACCAAGATAGAATATGGATCGGGTGTCACGTTCCGACACCGGGATAGAATATGGATCGGGTGCCACGTTCCGGTACCAGGATAGTATATGAGGATCCAGAGTGTCACATTCCGACACCAGGATAGAATATGGATCGGGTGCCACGTTCCGGTACCAGGATAGAATGAGGATCGGAGTGTCACGTTCCGACACCAGGATAGTATATTGAGGAGCGGAGTGTCACGTACCGACACGAGGGGAATAAAGATAATGAATCTTGAAATATGTTAATATATTCAATCTAATGAACTGAATTCCCAAATGAGTATGATGAGGAGGTGTGAGTCCTCATTGATGTGCTTGGTTGTTGTAACCAAGGGTTATAGTAACTGTAAATGCTGCGTGCTAAGAATATTAGTTGATTTTATGATATTGCTTAATACATACTGTTTTCTATTTTGAGTTGGCCGATGATATCTACTCACTACTTGTGTTTGTACTGACCCCCTACTTTTATGTTTTCTTCTTGTTTATTTGTGGAGTGCAGCAAACGTACCGTCATCTTCAACTCAACCACAATTCTAGCCAGTCTTCGTCACATCGGATCTTTAGGGTGAGCTAATGCTTCTAGCTTGGACTGGATCTTCTTCCTCATGTCTTGATGCCTTGAAGTTCCGACATGGACTAGCTTTTACTTGTTTTAGCTTTTAGAATACTCTTAGTCTAGTAATTTGATCATAGATGTTTTTGTGATGATGACTTCCAGATTTTGGGAATAATAATAGTTACTAATTTTATTAATGAGTTTAAGTCTTCCGCATTACTTTATGTTGATATTACATTGAAATGTTAAGGTTTAGATTGGTTGGTTCGCTCACATAGGAGGGTAAGTGTGGGTGCCAGTCGCGGCCCAGATTTGGGTCGTGACATCGGTACTGGATCCTCCGGCCATTCTATGCCCTCCTAAGTAGTGACATTCGTTGTCTTTGGCTTACATTGATGACCTGAGAAATATTTCTTATGGCATCTGTTATATAGTCCCTTTTGTCTCAGATTTGCCAGCTCAGTGTTTGGTTTGAAGGGAACTTATGGTCTAGGATCCCAAGACATAGTCCGGTCTAACATTGCCAAATCTGTGACATACTTCCACAGAGAACAATGGCCAGTTAGTGCCTCTTTTCTCAAAATGTGGCTATCAAACCAAATGGCAGCCTTCTCCTTCATATAGACTGACACAGCTCATCTTACTTTGGTCTAAAATTGATGTATTTTAGAACTGCTCACATTTTCGTAACCAACCCCTGGGTTAGTACCATCGACTTCTGGAAAGTTAATTTTGGCTTTGGAAGAAATAAAGACAGGGTAATGGTGACAATGATGTTTTGGATAGGCAGAGGAAGCAAGGGAGTGTTGTTCTGAAAAGGAGCAACAGTAGGTAGTGGAATATTGGACCAAGAGGGGTATCTGAAATCAATGGAACAGTAAACATGGGAAGGGGTATTTTGAAATCAATGGAAAAGTAGACATGGGATTAGTATGAAGAGGGGAACTCTTGCCGTATTCTTCTCTAAGTCAAGCAAGAATTGGCTCAAGAATCCAAGAAGCTAATCCTTCTCAAACTTGGTTTTTCCATTCACGCGTCGACTTCCACTTGTTTTCTCCTATTTCCAAAGCTCTTTCCATGCGTTTCTTGTTCCTTGATCCATGTGATTATCCATAACCGCAATTCCTCAAGGAATCCTTCATACACTTGGAATTTGCTTTGCCCCTGATCAACAGTCCTGATTCCTTCACTTCTTGCAGTGTACTTCTGTAATCAACTCTTGCAGTAGACATGTTAAGGAACTGGTTTTTCAATAGTTAGTTGTCATAAACTCTACCAGTCCTTATTTGAGATATGTTCAATATCTGGTTCTTGCATCATGTTTGTTAGTCATCAAAACATAAAATGGAGCATAGCTCAAAACTCCTAGCTCCTAACTCAACTATATATAATTATGCAGTATCAGTTTTAGTTCTATTTAATAAGAATTCTAGGTAAAGCCACCTTTTTTTAAAAAAAAGGATTCTCACGCTTTTTTGTAGCCTTGTAAGAGTCTCTTCATCTCTGAAACGATAAAATCACATGGGATTTTGGGACAAAATTGGAACTCGCTTGTTTCTTTTGTTCTTTAATGATTTGGCCTGTCTACTGGAACTCATATATCATAAATTTGTAATCCTATACAATTCGGGTTGCTGTATCTGAATATTGTCACTACTAAAAGTTATAAGCCCCAAAGTAATGCATACCAATAGTCCCGCTTTAAAATATATGCAAGTGGTTAATCAGGTATGTTCTCCTTTGACTTTTCAATATATAATTTTTTAATTATAAATTCATGTCATCCATTGCAGACTTCAGCAGTATAGGGTGGTTGAAATGAAACTTCTGGCTCAGCAAAGGGATCTTCAGGTACATGTTCGTGTCTTATTTTCAAATTTAATTCAAAATTCACAACTAAGTCTGTTCTGATGTGGATACCGACATTTGATTGGTCCTTGGATTTATGTGCTATCATTGTTCTGTTTTTTAGAGAAATTAAGTGGATAAGTGTTCACCTTTCAGTATTTTAACGGTTGATTCTTGTCGGAAGGCGCATGGGAAGTTTTAGAACCGTGCTTAAGTTCCGCGTATTTTCCTGTTGATTTCCTGGAATATTATCAAGACAATGATGTGAATAGCCTTTTCCCCAGATTGAAAGAAAAATAAAATATAGTAAATCTATGTTACATACGAGATCATATCAATTTCCTACGAATTTTCAGACTAAAGTTTTATGTAAGAGGAGTAAAGATTGTCCTTTAATTTTTTTTTTGCTACTTGCTTCATGACAAAGCTATGAATAGTGCTCAAATTTACTAGTCAGACCAACATATGAGAATTACAGAAATTACGTCACTCTACACATGAATGGCTTCTCATATAATTTCTTATAAGTGGAATTGCCTGACCCTCAAAGATAGCTTATCCATTGCAGAACTATAGAATCTTTTCTCCACTTCTGCTAGCTTCCGATTGCCAGTATGACTGCCTCATGTTACTAATGGGTTATTTTGAAATTTTAAGTGGAACATACTCTCAATTTAAAGTAATCTGAAAGTGTGGTTAACGTATTGGTGTCGTTCCCAAAATAAACTGAAATAAGGATAAGCTAAGTTAGCCTACCTCTGCAATTTGATTGACTGTTTGTAAAGATATGTTTGTGATACTGATTAATCCCAAAGGTTTTCCCTCGAATATTTAACATATGAACCTGTGCTTTCACTAATGAAGTTAGATTCTATGATACGATTGGTAGAAAGCATACCGAAAATGTCTCAGTTTTGCTAGGTAATGCTTTGATTTTGTTCTACTCAGATTTGTGGAGAGTTTCTCTTATCCTTGTTTCATCTATGCCAGGCAAAGATTCCTGATATAGATAAATGCTTGGACATAGTTGCTACCTTGCAAGCTAAGAAGGGCAGTGGTGAGGTTTGTTCTAGTGCTATGTTTTTTTTCAAATTTCAATTGAAGGCCTCACCACTCTTTTTTATGTGCATATTGTCTGGTAGTTGACATCATATCATTTTGACTATTACAAATTCAGGACATGCATGTTTGCAACATTTGCAAATAAATTTTCTAAGTTGAGAAATAATAGTATGATCACCCTTATCAGAAACAATAATTTATCGTACAGTGGTGAAACAATTCAACGTATTTACTACTTTCTTACTGTAGATGGTTTTGTTAAGGACATTTTAAGGTGTTGGAGACTCTTTTCAGTATTAGCTAAACTTTGGGACTTGAAGTCGCTGTATAAGATATTAATTGGTGGATTTGGTTGAACCAAACGGTCCCTTTAGTCCTGATACTTAAATTTGCTTCTCTAACATGAGCGACCTTACCCAATGATTAGAACAGAGACGGTAATGGTGATGCAATGATTCAATAAACATGAGCTGAAAGAAGTTCATGATTTAGAGGAGCTGGCTATCACTGTGTTTTCATGCAATTTACATTAGCTTATGGCATACTATTAAATAGAGATGTTAAATTTGAATATAAATATTTACCTCTATAATGCTAGGTGAAGTGCACAAGGACCATTAAATTCTACACAGTTCCATGTAAGGCACAACTCTTTTGGTTATGCTTATGTAGCTATCAAAATGTGAAATGAACTCAATTTGACCGTTTTGTGAATTTTTGTTGTTTCTTTTAGGCTCCACTAAAGTCAAACCATGGAAGAATGTTCTCTACTGTGTTCTTAAAAGTGAAAAGTGCAATAAAGCGACAAGGTTGACGGAGCTTGAGCAAAAAGAAAGAATTAAAAGTTCATGCTTCTTTGAGTGGGTTCAAACTTTGCTGTACACAGAAGCCTGGTATTTGAGTGGGGAGTATAGCGAGGCCCATTATCCACTGAATTCGAACCATGCGCCCATAAGCCCTTGAGAATTTTTCGGTTTTTCAAAAAGAAAAAAAAAACAAGCTGCTTTAAAATGAAGCATCTAACTTGTTGAAAATACAAAATAATACTCCCTCTGTCCCTGTTTGTGTGGTACCGTTTGACTTGACACAAAGTTAAAGAAAAAAACGAGGACTTCTTAAACTTGTGGTCTAAAACAAATCTTGGAGATTTTTATGGTTATAAATCATTTTATTAATGGTAAAACCAAATCTTGGATATTTGTTTTCAATTATGGAAAGATGACATTCTTTTAGGGGAAAGACTAAAAAGGAAAAGGTGCCACATAAATTGGGACAAAGGGAGTATCAATAACAAATTGCTCTTGTTGGGATGACTTTACAAGTTATTGTTTTGAAGCTTCATTGCTTCACACATGAAGTGATAGCCTGTCAGTACACATCACTTAATCGCTTTAAGAGCTGAACTGGTGGCTTTTAATTACATTGTTCACCTTTGCCTTTTGGGAACTGCCTCACTACTATATCAACTCATCTATACTTATTCATTGTCTCTCTTTGTTGATTTCATTATGACCACATAACCGTTTCATTAGTTCATCAACTGTTGCATTCATTCCGCCATTGTTCACTGCTGCAACTGTGGTAAGGAAGGAGTTGAATTCTAGGAATGTGTTCTCTTTAGCCTATACTTACTACCTTCAGATTCTTCTCTCCCGCTCCTCTCGGAATCACGTACTAATTATATTGTAGTTTACATCTTTGTGTTGGGTTTAAACACTGCTGGCTATTTGAGAAACATAGAAAGCTTCTAAGCTATTATGTCTCTTGACCCTTCTTAGAGCTAGCTTTAGCAAGTTTTGAGTGAATTCCTCTACAATCGCCATTTACTACTATACAATCGATATGAATTCAGGGCCAAAGTTTCCAATTAATCGTGTTTTGATGGTTCGTAATTGCTTTGTTAACACAATATCATGTTTGATGAGATGGTGGTTTTAATTAATTCTGCTTCTTTACCATGTGAAGCAATTCACAAGTTACTATCTCGTTGGAACTTAGAAGGATGTTTATCGTGTATTGCTGTGAGGATTTGGGAAGGGGAGAACATGAGGATGTATTCTTTTCTCAATATGACCATGATATTGTTTGTTACTTAATAAAGTGTTGACACCCATTTTGACCCAGGCCCACTCCCTATTTCAGCCCACGAAATTAAGTCCCAGGCGGCCCAAATCCCTTAACCAAGCCCAAATTCCCCCCCCCCACAACCCACTAAATTAATTCCCACTCCATCAAATCAACTTTCAGGACCAACCTCCTTAATTTCAACCCAATTCCCACATCAGCGGCCCACTCCCCTCCCTTTCCAACATTTCTCTAGGTTATTAATCCTCCCCTGGCCCAAATCCATCATCCCAGCCCAATCCATTTTCCCAGGCCCAAATCCATCATCCCAGCCCACTAGATTAATTCCTAACCCACCCACCTTTTACTTGACCCGACCCAATACCCCTTCCTTCTTCCCCAACCCACGCGACTTTTCCCAAAAAAACAGTCGCCTGATCCCCAGAAAAGAAAAAGCAAAAAAAACAGACCTCCCAAAACGGAAACCTCCCTCTCCAGACGCGACCTCTCCCCGCGTCTCTCCCTTACGCTCTCTCCCTTCCTCTATTCCCTACTCGTTTTCCCTCCCCCCACGCGATGCCCCCAACGTTCCCAGAAAAGAACGAACATTTCCCAGAAATAGAAAAAAATGCAGAGAAACAGACACCCCCAGAAACGGAAATCCTTTCCCTCACACTCTTCTCTCTCCCCACGCTTCCTACTCCTCTCTCGTCCTCTCCCCCTCGCACATGGACGATGCAGAAACGGACACTGCAGTCCTACTGTTTCGTACGCAGCAGCGCAGTGAGCACAAGTGACGCCAGCTCTCGTCCTTGTGACCACGAGATCATCCCACGTAGCTCGCTAGTACATTGAAATCATCTCGACCCTCCACCTCTTTCCCGCTCGATCTCTTTTGGATAAGGTTTGAGGGTTTTCAAATTTCAAATCGAAATGGGCCGAGATTCCAGCCCCTCTCCCTCGAAACCCTAGTTTTCCCTTCTATATAAACCCCCTTCCTTCTCCAAAAAGGGGGTTGGATTTTCGGAAATACATTTTGAACACAGAAAAAGGGTTAGCAATTTTAGGTTGAAAATTTTTGTTTGGAATTTTGGGTCGACAGATTTTAGTTGGACATTTTTGGGGGTTGGAAATTTTGGACGATTTTTTGGAGAATGGGATGTGGGATTTCTTTTGGTTGAAACTTTTGTTGGAAATTTTCGGAAAAAAAAACTTTGGCTGTGTTGTTTGTTCGAAGATTCTTTTAGCTGTTTCTGTTTGTTTCGGGGGGAACTAGACGAGAGTTTAGAGCGAATCTTTGTGTTGGATGATTTGGTCGGAAAGTTTTTGAAGAAGATACTGCAAATACTCTGAAAACGATTAACAGACGGAAGAATCGATAGTGTTCCGTATTTGGGTCTAAGTTCTCGCTTAAGGTTTCATTTCTTCGACGGGAACTCGAGTCTTCGCGTGAAGTGGTGAAGTCGTTAGCTCGTTGTGGTTCCAGTTGCTGCTTTCAAACAGGTAATCTTTCCCCCCCGCTTCATGTTATGTCTCGTCTTGTTTTTTTGTTCTGTTTTCGAAAGCAAATTTTTGTGGCTGCTGGTCGATCTGCTGTTCTTTTCTTTTGTTTTCGCTTTGGGATCGAATCTGTTAGCATTTGAGTGTTGGGTAAGGGACTTGTGTTGCTGAGAATATAAAAATGGCATATCTGTTGGTTGCTCGATTTCGAGACGTAGTGCGCGCTGTGATTCTGTGTTATTATGCATGCTGGTCTTGTGTAGCTTCCCTGTTTGAGTCTGTTATGACTAGCTGCGATTGATTTCATCGTTTTGGCCTTAGTTCGTTCTGTTCATAAACAGCCATAGCTCAATAATGTGATGTTGCATTTTTTTTGTTCCCGCAAAATTACTGGTAATGCTCAAGTTTCGTCAAGCTGTTAATGGTGCACATATTTTATCTCTTTAATGTAATGGTTGTTGTACTCGCTGTCTGAGAAAGAAATAATAATGAAAATCGAGTGAGCTTCAAGTTAGTCAGGGCATTTTGTTAAGATGCTATTGTCCCATATAGAGAGTCCATTCTATTTGTTTGCTAATCATAAAAATGATTTGATTTGTTTATGGTGATTCTAATTTCTTCTGTAATAATGTTAAGATTCATTTCAATTTTAAAGTGCATTCCATTCTTGTAGAAAATTATTTGTTTTTTCATTACCTTTGCCTAATAGTTATGCCTACATTCACATTTTTCACCACTGTTAGTTCTTTTTTTTTAATTTCCTTTTTGTTAGCATTGGCATTTAGTGATTTACCCTACTGCGTTGAGGATAAGTCTAATTTCAAAATGAAGTATTGTTAAGTTTTGTACGCATTTATATGTGCAACTGTCTGTTATCACAATTACTTCACCCTTTTAACTTTGTTGGGTTTAGTTCTTTCTCTTAGAGTCGTATTTTGGTTTATTTTGAATTCTTTGAATGAAACTCATTAATTAAATGTCATTTGTTTAAGTTACATTTTCTTTGTTCCTTATTTTCGGACACTAATCCTTATTGTTATTTTGTTTCATGTAAAACCTATCCGAGTTCGTCATGAACTCTTCTTCCCTTGCATTTTCGGAGGAGCCGTAAAGACTCAAAAGTCTTTCATCTGTGTCGCACACGATCAAGTGTCATGAAGATTGAAGGGATTTGAAGAAGATGGGCTGGGGGACTTCTCTATTCTATATTTCGCCTTCTATTTGTAATGGGCGTAAGCCCTTGTTGTTTCTTTTTCTTTATTTCCTTGTAATTATGTTTGTATGTTTAGATTAGGACAGGTACAAAATGGGTCGAAACCCAAAAGCAGGTGGGTCCGAGTTTCGGCTAAGGCGAACAACATCTGAAACTTGGACCCGAATCTCTCCTCTCTCTTTCTCTCTCTCTCTCTTTATTATTTGCTTATGTGATTTTTTTTGTTTTGAATGCCGTTAATCTAGGATTAGAAAACTCCAGCCCCATCGAACGTCTTTTGTTTTATCAAACTCAAATTAAAAATTTGAAACTTTAAAAGATAGATGTTTAAGTTTGGAAATTGCTTAGAGTTAAAGTTTTAAGTTCAATGAAATATTCTAAAAATTGGAGAATTTGCATAAGAGTTTCTAATAAAGTTTTATAAACAATTGCAAAAGTCTTTAAAATAAGATAGTCAAATAAGTTAATCGCCGGAAAACCGTAAGTTAGCGGAGTGTCTTAGGTGCCTTACACCTTCCTAAGACACTAATAAGAATCCCGAACCCCCTAAAATATTTTTAAAATGATTTTTTCTGTTTAAAAGTTCATTGAGATTTCTGCGGAGTATGTCCAGTATTTAAGTGGAGAAGAGTAGGGGGGTAGGCTAAGTTGCTCGGACTTGAGTGTGGGTGTCTGATACGGGTGCAAATCCTTCATGATCTAATTTTTAAGATTCTTCTTTGTGTTGGGCTTAAATACTGCTGGCTATTTGAGAGACATAGAAAGCTTTTAAGCTATTATGCCTCTTTACCCTTCTTAGTGCTAGCTTTAGCAATTTTTGAGTGAATTCCTCTACAATTGCCATTTACTACTATACCATCGATATGGATTCAGGGCCGAAATTTCTAATTAATATTTGTTTTGATGGTTTGTAGTTGCTTTGTTAACAAAATATCATGTTTGATGAGATGGTGGTTTTAATTATTTCTGTTTCTTTACCATGTGAAGCAATTCACAAGTTACTATCTCGTTGGAACTTGGAAGGATGTTTATCGAGTATTGATGTGAGGATTTGGGAAGGGGAGAACATGAGGATGTATTCTTTTCTCAATATGACCATGATATTGTTTGTTACTTCATAAAGTTCATTGAGATTTCTGCGGAGTAAGTCCAGTATTTAAGTGGAGAATGGTAGAGGGGCTGGCTAAGTTGCTCGGACTTGAGTGTGGGTGTCTGATACGGGTGAAGATCCTTCATAATCTAACTTTTAAGATTCTTCTTTGTGTTGGGCTTAAATACTACTGGCTATTTGACAAACATAGAAAGCTTTTAAGTTTTTATGCCTCTTGACCCTTCTTACAGCTAGCTTTAGCAATTTTTGAGTGAATTCCTCTACAATCGCCATTTACTACTGTACCATCATATGGATTCAGGGCCGAAGTTTCTAATTAATCTCTGTTTTGATGGTTTGTAGTTGGTTTGTTAACACTATCATGTTTGATAAGATGGTGGTTTTAATTATTTATGTTTCTTTACCATGTGAAACAATTCACAAGTTACTATCTCGTTGGAACTTGAAAGGATGTTTATCGTGTATTGCTGTGAGGATTTGGGAGGGGGAGAACATGAAGATGTATTCTTCTCTCAATATGACCATGATATTATTTGTTAAATCATAAAGTTCATTGAGATTTCTGCGGAGTAAGTCCTGTATTTAAGTGGAGAAGG